TGAGGTGTTTTAGTAGTGCCTTTCATAGAGTATTTTTATATCGATAGAATCTTACTTTGAAATTAACACAATTTTCGAAAATCCATATAACCCAACAACACCACATAAGTATGCAATGTTTTTTTCGATAAACTGGTTTTTAAAGGAAATAAGGATGTTGGATGGAAACTGAAAATATTTCAAATCAATGGTAATGGGGGTCCAAAATGTTTTAATTGTAATATCAGCAATTTTTTGTTTAGTAAGCATCAAATAAATAGTGGTTTTCTTTCGGAAATACATCAAAATGGATATTGATTCATTAAACCAGATTACAATAAATACTATTTCATTTGTTTTACCATTAAGTGAGCCAGAGGGGCTTTCGATAAACTACTAGAGTACGCAAATATTATAGAAGATTATAAAAGCCCCTTTCCAATGACCATAGAGCCCACGCCCCTGGCTTACCGCATTTTCAGTTTTGTTTGCCTTCATATGCTTACTTATAGATGTGTGTATATGCCCGGGGTGTGTGTGTGTCTCTGTTCATATAGATGCATATGTATTTGGGTATATCATACATGTATATAACGGCCAGCAATTGTATGTGTAAGCTGTGGCATATACAGTGAAAGCTCTGACTAATGGCTGCCAGGTGAAATCCTTTTCCGAGATCCCCCCAAATAAATGTGAACCCCACTGTGGGCTAGATATACCCTCATTCGAGTTTCCTTCACTTTTCCATGGGAATCGAGTTGATGGAAAAAATGAGGGTTACTCTAAGCCCAGTGCCCACTGTGGCTGAGTGGGGTGGATAAGCCTCGAAAACAAAATCATCAAAGCGAGCACTCAACCCCCAGCCAGCCAGCTGAACGAAAGAGACGGGCTGCATGGGATGCGATGTGGACACGGCTCGAGTCGGGCATGAGAAGCGCGTAGAAAGGCCTGTGGCAGAAATGAAATATCAATAAATGATTAACATTTCGGGCAATCAAGAGAATTTTATTAGAAACACAGAATTATTAAAGCCTTCCCTAGGCAAAGTCGGTTAAGTCTTTAATGATGGAAGTTTAGCATTAGCAAAGGGTTTAGGGTAGCATAAGGAAGACATGTCAAGTGAAAGATCAGTTTAAATAGACTGGTGATATAGTTTTTATCCCGTTATGGATCAGGGTAGACAAATTTCTTAGATTGGATTTCTTAATCTTATGTTTAAATCATTATGCTTAACCCGTTTGCCAAGTATAAGGAATGATCTTCATATTAAAACATATTGTATATTGTTATCCTTATATATCGATCTTTAAGGCTCGATCTTAGATCTTAAGCTTAAAGTACAATCTTTTATGCGACATCTACAAGATGTTAAACCCTTCAGACATTATTGATCTTCCTTATTAACCTTTATTATTTGATTTTATTACCAAATATATATCGACCTATATTAAATTTTTCAAAAAATCTATAAAGTATATTTTGTTTTATTTTTATTTTAGTGGTTAAAAATATGTACCTATGTTCATGTTAGTCAGTCTGCATATTTATCTATTGATATATCTTTAAACGGTATCTACCATTTAATACAATGGTCTATCTTACTATCTTTATATTTATCTGAATATCTTAGTTAGCTATTCTATGATCTATTATCTGTACCCAAGCGACTAGCAAGGGTTATGAGTCAGTGCTAAGTATCCGGAGATCCCGCCTAGCTAAAGAACTATTCCGCCCATCTATTTCTATAAATCCCCCCTATGACCTCCCGTAAGAAACCCAAGGCAATGCATATTTGAACTTATTTTTTTGCCAGAGCGGACAAAGCCAAAGGCGACTGATGATGCCCCCTACTCATGCCCCTGCCACTTGAGGCCGAGTCCCCTTAGACTGAAGCTGCGACTGAAACAGACCACAGACTCCGTCTTCGACCTTTCGTAGACAAAGCAGAGCCGCAACTGGCGGCAATAACCACGCGACAACAACGGCGCTCGTCGACGGTGACGCTGTCGCTGCTGAGACTCGTTAATGTTGCTGATACCATATAGCCATAGCCATAGCCATATAGCCATAGCCATAGGTTGCCATTGCCGTTTGGATTCTGTTCCTCTGCTTTTGGTTCTGCTGGTGCTTCTGCCGCCGCCACTGCCACTGCCACTGCGATGTTGTAAAAGTTTTGCGCACAAATCAGCAGCACAGCCAAAGGATACGCAAAGTGGATGGTATAACAGCGGCAGCAACATGACCACACTGCGCGATAAAGCAGCATTCAAAAGTATTATTATTAAAGTCTTCAATTCATTAGAATAAAGAAGAGTAAAGGAATTAGGTTTAAAAAGATAAAACATTTTTTTTAATAAGATCATATTGTCTTTCACAATTTAAAAGCGAACTATTTAAGTTCTCCAATTCGAATTTTATTATAGTTACAGCTCTCCAATTGGTTTTCACCTTCCAAAAATCCCAGCATTGTGATTAATAATTGATTTAATAACAATTTCATAATGATTTGATTTATGAAGCTGTGAAATATTGATTAATAATAAATAGGTCTTGATAATACATAAGAATATGAAAAGTAAACCGGAAGCTGAATTGAGTTATGAGTCATGGAGTTATGAGTTATGAAAAGTTTGGAATTCTAAGCATAAAATTTTTGATTTCCTTTTCAAGTGTAATTCGAATATTATATTCAAAAATTCAGAAACTTGTAGATTTTCCTTTCAGTGAAAATGGCATTTTCAGCGCTTGGCGCTCGAAGGCGAACAATGAATGCCACAGCCGCCAGAGCGGGCAACATCGTTAGAGCTTTAACCGACCCCCCTTTTTGCTAGCCGCCCATTACCACTACGCTGACCCCCCCTCCGTTGAGCCCCCCTTTCGCCAATTTCGAGGCTGCGCTGCGTCGCACAATTTTCAATGCGCTCTTGCCTCGAAACGGTGGAAAATGCGCGTCCGTTGTTAGTCGGAAAACGTCGTCATCCGTCGACGGTTGTTTTGGCTGCCTTTGGACCAGGAGTTTTCCGTCAGCAGCGGCAGAGGCAGAGGCAGAAGCACCAGCAGCGACCGCGGCAGAGCCAGAAATCTAGCCTTGCACTCAAAGAAAAAGATGGCTTTAAAACCAGACATTTCCCATGAAAATATATTGATGAACAAATTTTGAAATTTCACATAACTGATTTGAAAATGTAAAAAAAAACATTAATTACATTTTCAAAATGAAAAACAAGTTTTCGAAAAATTATAAATAGTTGCCATCAATTTATTTTCATATTGAGTTCCAAGCCAATATTTTTTTGAGTGTGGCTTTAGCTTTTGCCTTGGCAGCACAAACTTCGGCTCTCAGTTCGGCCTGGCTCTCCCAAAAGAGAGGTGGTAAAAGAGTGGGGAAGAGGCAGGTGGATGTGGGTTGGTAACACTGTGGGAGAGCTTGGGCCAAACAAAGAGCCACCCAACTCACTCTCCCACTCCCCAACTGTGTGTGTATGTGTGTCTGTGTGTGCGCACCGAAGCAAGCAAAGCAATCAGCAGTCAGCGGGGTCAGAGAGTGGGGAATTACACTCGTGAGTGTGACTGTGCGTGTATGTGTGGGCAGAGGTGGGGGAGAGAAAGAGCCGAGCCGAAGAGAGAGAGCGGGGAGGATGCCTTGAGCCGACGCCTCGCCACCCGAACACCCACTTTTATCAGTCAGCAAAAGGTCGTTCGGCACTGTGGTCGCTCCGCTCCGAAAAGCACCTGACTCGCCAGCTGCTGATAAGAAATCAGCGAGATCAGGTGCGACGTTACGCCGTTATGCCAGCATTCGTAATCAACGAAAATGATATGAGCACTTACGATCGTCTTTGAGCTGATTGCACTCTAACCTGTTTTACTATCATAAAAACTTATATTCTGAGATGTTGTTTAGGAGTATGATTATTATTAAGCTCTTCTTATATAATATGTATTTAACCTTATGATGATCTCTAAGCTTTAAATATAATATATGTTTAAATCTTATTATCTAAACATGATAAATAATATTTCTAAGCTAACTTATAACTAATTTATTTTAATTGTCAAGATATTATGCGTTCTATTTTGCAAAACAAAGATTTTTTAAGGTAGCCACAAGTTTTATCCACACATATCCTTAGAATATCACTCATACGCAATGATACCCCTGTTGGAAAATAAACTCTATATGGTTTTACTTTCAAATTTATAAGCATGATATTATACAATTGCTAACTGTGATATCTGTTTTTGAATCCTAATATTAAACAGTTCAGCAACAAATGTTATTTCTTCAAACCAATATTTGTACAGCTAACATGGCGTATGAGTAATTTTGAGGCTGGCTTAGGATATATTGCGTAACCAAACATATTAAAAATCGAAAACCTAATCACTTACCATATAAGCTCAAGTACTAAATCTAAAGCGAACTTAAAATACCCCCTTGGGAATCTACTTTATAGCGATCATAAAAACTGGCTCGATTACCAACGCAAAAATATCGATCGCCCATTTGCAACCGAGATGCAATAGTATCGATACACTCGCATCGATTAGAAACCGTTAGGCGCCAATCACAATTATCGACGTTATGAAAACGAGTAAAGCGACCAAAGCAACGCATAGCAGCAAAACCCAACCAAACTCGGCTAAAACAAGCCGAATCGAAACGAGCCAAGTCGAGTTGCCTTTGTTTGCTGGTCGGGCCCACTAAAATAGTTCAGGAAATGATGAAAAGGAGGAGTTCGAGCGAAGGGGAGAGGAGGGGGGATGGTTGGGGAGGATATTAAGAGCATCGTGGGGCCTGAGTTTGGTATTGAGTTTTGGGCCTTTGGCTTGCGCCCGATTGTGTCCCAGCCTGGGGCTTTCCACAGCGCAACTGAAAATACGAAAATGCGAGGCGGAAAAGCTGGCAACAACAACGCGCGCATGTGGCAGGGTTGCCAGAGCGCAGAGAGTTTCCCAGCCTCGGCGGCAGCGGCGGCAACTCTGGCCACCCGGCTGTCGACTGTGTGTTGGCCAGGCCAAAAGCATTCAGTACGAACTCTGCACTTCGCACAACAAGACGCCAAGCGACCAGCGACGACGACGCCAAAGGCGCTCGGCCAAAGCCACAGAGCCCGAGCAAAAACTACGTAAATTTTCCACAGCCATTTTCCACAATTTTCCCAGTCGAACAAGAGCGGCAGCAAAAACATCGGCCTGCCTGTGTGTGTGTTTTGTGTGTGCAATAGTGAATTGTTCTTGGCCCAGGCGATCGAGTTCCCCGCAAAAACCCTTCCCCCCAATCCCGCTAAAATGTGGAGCTGGGGCTAAGGAACACCGCCAAAAAACCCCAAAACAAGCAGCGACTCAGAAAAAGGCGCCAAACTAAGATTACCGCCAGCCAAGATTACCTCCTCAAGACCCCGCAGGAAACCATGAAAATGTGGACCGAATCCAATGTAAGTAGATCGTGATAAAATAAGGTTTTATATCTCAAGTATCGAACTTGATCTTCCTTAAAGATATTTGCCATAGATGGGTTATTGTCTTTGTTTAAGAATTAGATGCAGTTCAAAGAGAGCTAATATAGTTTGATCAAATTTTTAATTTAAATTTAAATTAACATTTTAACATTGTCATCTAAGAGTAAGTACGTTTCAGAAATTTGTTACTCTATCCTAAGCACAAATAAAACACTTTTAAAAACGTAAATTCCTATAATCAAATGTGTACTAATTGAATATCTCTGAAGATATTAAATGGAAATGATATAAAATTATTTCAATCAACTTTTGTATGGTCGAAATTCCAAATATGAAGTTTCTGCAGCTTGAAAACACAGTCTTAGGACTTATGGTCCTTAATGATACCATGACAATATGATACTACACTATTACCAATCTTCAGCTTCCTAATATGTATGACCATGTATGATATGATTGCATATGAGTACATGTGCTTTTGCCATCTGAGGTGCATTCGCTATCTTTGTTTTGATTCTTGAGTTTCTTCTATCGGCATTTATGTTTTGTGCGCGTGTTTCTTTTGCCGCTTACCGGCGAAACCAATTGAAAAGCCATTTGGCTACGGCCGGGAAATGCTCAATGGATTGGTCAGGGGTGCGACGAGGGGGGTGCTGCAGGGGGGGTCCAAAAGAGGGGGCCTCCAGCACGCATATCCATGTGGGGCATTCGTAGTAGGCACGCACAGCACGCGTCGTCAGCTAGCCATTTTCCTCGATTTGCCCCCCCTTCGAATTCCCGATTCTCGATGGCCGATTCCGATTCGATTTCCATTCCCAAGTTGGGGTCTTGAACCCCCTCCCCCCTTCGCCACTTCCTACAAGACCCCCTTGCAATCGAAGCCAAGTAAACAAAAGCCAACAACAGCAAGGTTTTTTCTCTTCTCTCTTTGTTTTCTTTCTTTATTTCTACCGCTTGCAGCAATTAAATGAAAGTTTTTGTGATGATGGACGACGAAAAGGGGGCGGTGGGTGATGGTAAAAGGGGGGGGACCATCGGAAAAAGGAGGCGTAGAAGCCGGCGAGCAAAACAAAAACTGCAAAAATGTCATATACGTCGAGGGGTGGCAATCGCCCCTTGGGGGCGGGGATGCGGTTGGTTTGGGGGCGTGTAAAGTGCATTGGCATTTAAGATTCGTTGCAGGCATGGCTTCCAAGTTTCCAACAAATAAAACATGAAGAGAGGGAAAGAAATTTATTGAAATAAACTTGACCCACAATTGGCCAAAGTGTTTGACGATGGCAGATATGCTGACTTTGAGAAAAATGTTTGGTGCGAGGAATTTGTCAGGTGGCATTTTATGAAGGATTTTATTGCATACTACAAATATAGAAGATATTTGAAAATGTTCACTTTCTTACAAAGTTTAGGGACAATATTTCTGTTCACAGTTTTTTACATTGACGTTACCAAACTATCTTGCTAAATGTAATCTTTACCAAAATCTATCTATTTAATAATTTATAGAACTATAGATTTGGTAATCCGGTTCTTTTAAACCTTTATAAATAACAAAAAACTTTATAAATAAAAAAAAATTACAAATTTTTTTACTTCTTGGGTTGGAAGTATATCGATTCCCAAGGAAAAGTTGTATCAATACTAATTTTAAGACAAACCTACTTTGTTATTCCGAGTCTTAAAAACCAACCCGTGAAGCGAAATAAACGTGGAATCTCCGGTATCCCTTGGGAAAGTCTGCTGTTAAAAAGTCAACAGATTCGCTGCCGCTCCACATAAATGATTAACCAGGGCAAAGGTCGTAAAACGGTAAATCAACAATAAATACACTTACCACTCCCCTCTTACCAACTCACGCACACACACACACACACACTCACTCGCAAAGGAATCCACTTGTCCTTGACACAGTGACGTACCAAAGTCCGAACGTTGTATAATAATAGCATCATGACTTGCGCTTGTTCCGCTCCTTTGTGGGCGGGGGCAGGGCGCAGGGGGCGGGGCACCCCATCAACTCATTTTCGGTCCCATGCAAATGCCCGTCGCATACCTTAGGTCAGTTTCCGTATCGTAAAAAAGGCACAGGCCATGCCAGGCAACACAATCTCTTTCGGGAGTGGGGCAGCAGCCGGCGGCGGACAAACCCTTTTTTCCGAGCTATAAATACAGGCGAACATCTCTAAGCCGAACCGCAAGCATCTGATGAATGAACAATTGGCGTAATTGAGAGTTTCGAGTTCGAGTTCGAGTTCTCATTTCATTACAATAATATGCTTTGAGTGCTTATAGGGAATTTCAAGTGTTTGTTTTAGAATTACTGCTTATAAAGAGCTCTTCAGCAGCCATCTTTGCCTGTGTGCCCCCAAATGTGTCAATTAAATTAGGATATCTTTATTAATAATATTTTTAAAAGGTATTATATATAAGGTATTATTTATTTAAAAAATTGCAAATGTAGTTGCTATTTGTAGCTTTGTTATATAATAATGTCTTGAGGTAACAAATAGACCATCCATCAAGTAAAAAGTTTGTTTATTTTAGAAAATTGCAAATGAAGTTGAATTTGTACCTTTGTTATCATAATAATGTTCTTAAGGTAAGCCAAATATCCTCCATCTAGTAAATCCATCCTAAAGTAATAAAATGATTATAATCTTTAAATGCTGAGGAATTAGTAAATTTGAAATATTATGGGTTAGAATAAGGAAATTCGAAAGACATACATAACATAGAAAAGGATTTTCTTTGATTCAAGTTTAAGTTGCACCTAGAACACACAAATTGGAATTGTAATGTTGGTATAATGAAAGTGGTATTGTTACACAATTTCTTTTTGAGTGACTACCAATTCGACATAGTGAAGTTGGACTGTATAACGGTTTTATGCGTATTTACCATTACGCCTCCAATGGGCAATACAAATGGGCAGTGCTGCCTCTGCCGCTGCCGGTGCTGCTGCTCTTCTTCTTGCTCTTGCGGCTGGCCATAATTTATTGGCCACTTGTTTCTAAGCGACGGCAGAGGCAGAGGCAACCTGCCGTCATGAATGAATGGAGGTGAGTGAGTGAGAGGGGGGGGGGGGATGGGGCAGAGGGTGAGTGACTTGCTCAAAGAGTGAGTGAATGCCACTCGCTAATAAGCATCAAGAGCAGACACAAAAGGGCAAAAGCAAAAGCAACAGCACAGCAAAAGCAAAAGCAAGAGTCAACAATAACCACTGCAGTGGGAGGGAAAGAGAGGGCGGTAGTAGGCCGGCAGCACGTGCTAAGCACATTTAACGACAACTACAACAACAACAAAGAGCGGCCACAAAAACGATTAAATTAAAAACCAAAACAAACTAAAGAAACGGCGCAGCGCCGTCAACGTCGACGTCGCCGTCCGCAGTCGCGTCGCAGTCAACGTCAACGCCAACGCCGCAAGGAGAGAGATACAAAAACAATGTTGAGTACACAAGGCACACACAAAAATAAAAGAAAACAATAAAAAAAGGCAACGACAACAACGAAGGCAGCGCGCATAATAAACGTCAATTTAAAAATGCTAAAAGCTCGCGACGCCGACTGCGCAGTCGACCCAAGCCGGCGACAATAATAATAATAAAAAAAGAAAGAAAAAAGAAAAAACCAAGGGAATCGCCGAAAGTTAAGAAGTAAACACAGTCAAACACACACACAGCGACACACGAAGAGCAATAAAAAATAACCCTTTTTCCGGTTTTTGTTTTGCTTTGCAGTTTCTAATCAAGAGGAAATACATAAAAGCGGCCAAAATGCCGCTACTTTTTGGGGTTTCGGATTTGGGGGCGGTGAGATTTCTTTTTTGGCATTCATCATTTAGCATAGGGCAACACCGCAATCCTTTTTATGTTGTGCGAAACAGCGGCACAAAAGGGAAATGGTATTCGAATGGAGTGTTGATTCGGTGAGTGGAACTTAAAAGATACAAAGATACAAAAAGTATCTAAAATTAAAGAAACTACGAATGCCTTCCATAGGAAATACAAAATAATAGCAATCATAAATCACTATAGAAAGTAATCATTATTTATATTATATTATATTTTTTTGGCTAGTATTACTTTTGGAACCCCGATGGAGGTTGATATCTTTTCTTAACTATCTTTACTAGTGATTCCCAACCCAACATATTAAGATACTAACACCTTAGCCATCAAATTATAAAATACCTAATCTCAGCATACCAGTTTCACTAGAAATGATATATACATTTAGAAACTCTTAAAATAAATGGCATTTGCGATTAGATCAGGTGTCCGTGGCATTCATTGAGCACTTTTTCAAAGCCAAATATTTACTACGAGTCACACATACCGGCACGCGAGCATTCACTATCAACCCACGCCGATTATTCAGTGGCAATAAAAACAATAAAAATCATCTCTCAGCCATTTACATAACGATCAAAACAAAAGCCCCCAGCTGATTGGGATTGGATTGGGGTAGGGTCGAAGTCGCATACTCACATCCACATCACATTCACGTTCGATGCCGGGTATCATAAATAATTTCGATTTGACTTATATTATTAGCTAAATAAATATGAATGAAAAAAAGAGCAGTAAAAAATAAAGCAGCAAACAAACAATCGACGGCCAGCAAGAGGCATGAAAATTGAATGAGTGAGTGAAATGAAAGACAAAGTGGCGCCAACGTCGACAGCGCTGCTTAGCGTGAGAAAACCCATTCAAATTGTCAAACACAAATGTCTACGTAATGATCGGCCCCTAATAAATGACAATCGAATGGGAATGGGAATGAATGAATGAAACCGAACGAGAACGAAAGTGCGATTCCAATTACGACACCAAAAGCAGATCGCATAGGGAATACAAATGGGTTAGGTGATTAAAGAAGTCAAGTGCTCCAGATACTTGGGTGAAACGGGAAAGAGAAATATCAGGTACTTTTATTGACGGACTTGAGTGCTCATCGATTATGTTAGGGATCTCC